CCGCCTCATTCCGTCAAATAGAAAACTGGCTGATAGAGCGCCTAACACAAAGGCCACAAAATGGGGCCACCCACAGATAAAAGTCAGGGTTTCTGCTCACTCAGGGATGCGGGTGCCGAAAAATCATAATGGTTCAATTTTTTAAAAAAGAAGACAATGGCCACCTCCTCCGGTGCCTCGGGAAAAACTGAACGTTGCCCTGAGAATTTTGAGTACAGCTGAGAATCAGTTAAGGGGTGGGGGTGGGTGGGGTGGGGGACAGAAGGAGATCAGGATATCTGTCCCCGAGGCCTGAGGAACTGAGAGTACCTCAGGAGAGTTCAGTGAGGGAGAAGGCAGCTTCCCAATAATTTATTCCCCTTCCCCTTCCCGATTGTCACAGACCCCTTATCTTGTGGCGATCATCACGTGGCCTGCCTTGCTGGGATGGTTGTATGGGTCATTACGATAACAAGGCCGAGGCACTCCGAACAGTCTAAAAGTGCTTTATAAAAGAATGCTGTAGAAAAGAGCAAGAGTCCAGTAACACCTTAAGGACTAACAAAATATGTGGCGAGGGATGAGCTTTCGTGAGTCCCCGCTTATCTGAAGAAGCGAGCAGTGACTCACCACAAAAGCTCCCCCCCTGCCACCAGTGTTCCCCCTAAGCTGAGTTAGTGTGAGCCAGCTCACAGTTTTTTACCCTCCGGCTCACTGATTTTTGCCTTCGCTCAGGAAGGACGCCTCCAGAGCAAACTGATTTATGCAGCAGCCAGATCGCTCGCTCACAACTTTAATGCCGGTAGCTCACAAAGCAGAATTTTTGCTCACAAGACTCCACAGCTTAGAGGGAGCGCCACATGTTTTGCGAGTCTTTAAGGTGCTACTGGTGTAGTGTAGCCGGTTTGGTGTCGTGGTTAAGTGTACAGACTCTAATCGGGGACGACCGGGTTTGATTGCCCATTCCTCCTCCGCTTGCAGCGGATGGATGACCTTGGGCAAGCCATAGTTCTCTCAGAGCTGTTCTCTCAAGAGCCGTTTCTGTCAGAGCTCTCTCAGCCCCACCTACCTCCCAGGGTGTCTGTTGTGGGGAGGGGAAGGGAAAGGAGTTTGTAAGCCGCTCTGAGACTCCTTTGGGGAGTGAAGGGCGGGGTATAAATCCAATCTCCTCCTCCTCCTCCTCCTCTTCTTCTTCCTCTTCCTCTTCTTCTTTTGGACTCTTGCTCTTTTCTACCACTACAGACAGATTAATACGATGATGACCCATCTACAGAAATGAATAGTTTTTGCATTGTTGCTATTCTTAATACCGCCTCACAGCTTTTTGGCTAAGAACAAGTATGTCTACTACGACTATTATTAATAACAACACGTATTATAGTATAATAATGATAATGATGGTAATGTTGATGATGATGATAATCATAACGATAGCCCTAAACTACATTCTGCCTAGAAATCTGTCGCTAGCGCTATCTGTCAGTAATTGGGGCTCCAACTTTCCTCCCCTGAGCACGGGCATACTCAGAGGCCGTGCAGGAAAGGGTTAGTTTCAATCCTGTACGGGATGTTCTATAAAATCCTCCTAAACGAGCGTCTGAGAAGGGACTAAACCCTTTAGTGGCATTGCTTCAGCTGACTGGCCCAGATAAATTGATGGTGGGAGGGGGAGTGGTGGGGAGGAGGAGGAGGGAGGAGATTAACCCCTTCTGCCCCGCACGCCGCCTGTTCCCGCCGTGTCACAATAACCTCTCTAGCAGAAATAATGTCTTTTCACGACCAACAATCACCTCTTAATAATCCCAACTTGTGGAATGTCCAACTTCTAAATTGTCCTGTGTGGAGGCATTGACTATCTTGTGGAACTCACTGCCATACGGTGTCGCGACAGCCTCGATCTTGGAAGCTTTTGAAAAGGAGAACATATTGGATTTATACCCCGCCCTTCACTACCCAAAGGAGTCTCAGAGCGGCTTACAGACTCCTTTCCCTCCCCCTCCCCCTCCCCACAACAGACACCCTGTGAGGTCGGTGGGGCTGAGAGCACTGTTCCCTCTAAGCTGAGTTAGTGTGAGCTAGCTCACAGTTTTTTAGCCTCCGGCTCACACATTTTTATCTTAGCTCAGTAAGGAGGGCTCCAGAGCAAACTAATTTATGCAGCAGCCAAATTACTTGCTCACAACTTTATTGCCAGTAGCTCACAAAGTAGAATTTTTGCTCACAGGACTTCACAGCTTAGAGGGAACATTGGCTGAGAGAGCTCTTGACAGAAACGGCTCTTTTCCAATAACAGCTGTGCCAGAACTGTGGCTTGCCCAAGGTCATCCAGCAGGTGCAAGTGGAGGAGTGGGGAATCGAACCCGGTTCTCCCAGATTAGAGTCCGCACACTTAACCACGACACCAAGCTGTTATATACATGTTCATCCCTGATGTGGGTAGCCCAGGCTAGCCTAGTCTTGTCAGATCTTGGAAGTTAAGCAGGGTTGGTCCTGGCTAGGCTAGGTGAGAGACCACCAAGGAAGCCCAGGGTTGCGATGCAGAGGCAGACAATGGCAAACCATCTGCGAATGTCTCTTGCCTTGAAAACCCTATGGGGTCGCCACTATTGTACCATCGATATGTTCCATCTCCCGCAGGGCTCTTTTTGTAGCAGGAACTCCTTTGCATATTAGGCCACACCCCCTAATGTAGCCAATCCTCCGAGAGCTTACAGAGCTCTTCTTACAGGAGCTACTGTAAGCTCTTGGAGGATTGGCTACATTAGGGGTGTGTCGCTTAATATGCCTGGCCCTGGGGAAGAAAGAATGGCAGTGTGTCGCGTCGAACTAAGAGCATTGAGCAAATGTATCATCTTGTGTCGTCATCTTGTGGAAGAACTGATCGGAACAGCTAGAGCACTTGTTGTGATGTGTTGTGATGTGCAGTAGTAATGATTTTATGGTTTTAAACTGTTTTATGTGTAGGCTTGTGCCTGTTGTGAGCCGCCCTGAGCCCGCGTAGCGGGGAGGGCGGGTTATCAATCTAATTTATAAATAATAAATAAATAAATCAGCTGTGTCTTTATGGCAAGAGCAAAAACAGATACACATTCGTGGAGCAGAGGGCTATCGATTTCTATTGATGATTTGCTTAAATAAATGTAATGGTACTTAAATGGAGCATCCATGTTCAAAGGTAGTCTACCTTGGAATACCTGTTCCTTGTGAGCATTCACAGGGGGAGGCCTCTAGAGTGGCCAGACTGGATATGAATACCGGCACTCTGATCTTCTGCTATCGCTTTGTCGACAGAATCAAATTTGTTAGTGACGAACAAATTCTCCTTTGATTTCCCTCCGCACCCAGGCATCTCCCCGACTATCAAAAAGGACATGGACAAGTCTCCTTTCAACAGCCCGTCACCGCAGGATTCATCGCCTCGGCTGACCAGCTTCACTCAGCATCATCGGCCGGTCATTGCCGTTCACAGTGGTACGTCAGCTATCATCAGGGAAGGCTGGGGAAGGTGAATTACTGGACTTAGGCCCAGTTTGCACTTGCAATAGAATGACTTGGTAGCGAGGACTGTACCACGTCAGACAGTGCCATTTTAAATAATTCCTTTATTTTAAAAAAGCAAAACAAAATACCTCCCTAAAAGCAGAAATCTAGCTCTTCAGGGTTCTTTTGTCTTCTTCTCACTGTGATGCTAGTTTTCTACTTGCAGGAAGTTGAATTTGAAAATGGTACAGTTCATTCCATCGCTCTGGGATTCTCCTACCTAGTTCTGCTGGATGTATGACATCAAGCCTTACAAATCCAGGTTTGGGGGGTCCAGTTCTCCAAGTCAGGTTTCTTTCTTTGCCTCTTGCAACACAACATGCTACAGACTTAACCTGTGCCGATTTCCCACAAGCAGCTGCACCGCCATTCCAAGGGTTTCCTAGGACAGCAAGAGAGTGTTAGGGGAAATAAACCAGGACCGTTTTCCCACAAGCAGCTGTGCCGCCCTCGCCATTCCCTTTCCCCTGATTGAATTCGTCAGTTTCCCACTACTGGCTGCACAGCCGCATTTTGAGCCGCAGCATCCCCTGAGTCTTCACGATCTCAAAAAACAAGGATCGTGAATGTTCCCGCTAAGCTGTGGGGTCTTGTGAGCAAAAATTCTACTTTGTGAGCTACTGGCATTAAAGTTGTGAGCAAGCAATATGGCTAGTGCATAAATTAGCTTGCTCTGGAGCCATCCTTCCTGAGCTAAAACAAAAAATGTGTGAGCCGGAGGCTGAAAAACTGTGAGCTAGCTCACACTAACTCAGCTTAGAGGGAACACTGGCAAAGACGCGGGGGAAATCGGGGGATGCTGTGGGTCAAAACATGGCTTCGCAGCAAGTAGTGAGAAATTTACGAATGCAATCGGGGAAAAGGGAAGAGTGAGGGCGGCATAGTTGCTTGTGGGAAATCGGTCTTGGTTTATTTCCCCTAACACTCTCTTGCTGTCCTAGGAAACCCTTGGGATCTGTGGTCTTCCAAGGGATGACCCTTCGGATCCGTTCCAGGGAATTCTCAGAACTTTTACCAAACTACAACTCCCATGCTTCTTTGCTGGGGGCAGCTGCAACACTTAAAATGGTACAAAGCCAATAACAGACTTGTAGAACAGGCAAGACCTTTAACCTTCTGTAGGAGCCCAGGACTGCTGATTTCTCCAGAGAGAAATGGAAGGATCCTGAAAAATTATGGGATGTCCACTAGCATAAAACACTCAGCTCAATTCCCAAGCTGCTGTTTATCACCTCATACTAAAGGATGCTGGGTAAGAAAGGCAAGTGGCAGTGTCCCCTCTAAGCAATGTGCATGAGCGGCCGCTCATTAACACAGGAAGCCCCGCTCGGCAGCAGTCTGGAGCTGTGCACGGTCTTACATTGCTCATTTGAAGATTACAGCAGTTCTGTTCTGCTCTGGATGTGAACTGCTAGACTCAGTAGGGGGGGAAAGGTTAGAGGGAACATCGGCAGGTGGGTAAAGTCACATGTCACATTGGATGAGCAAAAGGGGTGTTCAGGAAGTGCCTTTTGCACAGCCACACCAAAATTCCTCTCCAGGGTCAAGCACTGGGGGGGGAATGAAATGGCTCGGCAGATTTCACGGAGAAGGAGGGTGCTGACTGGCATTGCCCCATGATGTCATCAAGGAACAACACCCCCCCCTGCAATATCTGCAGTTCATTTTTGCCCTTTTAAAAAAGAAAGGGTGTCTATTCCCCCTTTAATTAATCAGGTGACAAATTAGCTGGCAAATGCATGTGGCACTTTTTAAAAAGATGAAAAAGGCCCCCCACAATTTGGGGAAGGCCAACGGCTGCTAAGCCGGCGTTTGATTTGTTGCTACACATGTCTGTCATTTCAGTTGCAAAGCTGGGGAAAAGTTGGCTTAGGAACTCTCTCTCTCTCTCTCTTTCTCTCTCTCTCTCTGAATATTACACACCTTCACCTTTTTTAATTGCTCGATTCAGGCAGGTCGCAAAGCACATTCCAGCTTGCTTTTATCATAGCTGGGTGAGGGGGCAGCTTCTGAAATCCTCTGCATTTAAGTTTCTGCACTGATTTTGAAGATCCAAAGTATCTGCCTTCGTTTCTGATGCATTAGCAATGTTAGGAATTCTCCATTGTTCTGGGGGTTTTCTTCTTTCCGAAATTTGTAGAGGGTGCATGCATGCGCAGGTTTCCATTTATACACATCTGCATTATTGATGTGCACCAAGTCCATGGATACAACCCTAACCTACAGCCAACCTTGATGTGATTGTACGCTGGGTTGAATCAGAATTCTTTTGACGTGATGTGTTCCCCACCCCATGTGCTGGAATGCGCACGCTTGCATCAGTAAAACACCATGCACAGCAGCACATATGTGCATTGTGTGCAGGAATACATGTGTGTGTGTGTGTGTCACTAAAATACTGTGCCAAAAAAATTGTCATGGAGATCTGTACAATCATGTCAAGCTTACTTTTCAACAAAGTTTTATGAACTGGGAAATTCAAATTTGCAGGAAGGACTAAAAGCTGCAGAGATTCTAAATACAGAGTTTAATTTTTGAAGTGCTACCAGCGGGGTCATTTCCTAGAAAAAGAGGTGCAGGAGCTCATTAGCATAACTTATTTGCATATGCCACACCCCCTGACATCCATCCATCCATCCATCCATCCATCATCTATCTATCTATCTATCTATCTATCTATCTATCTATCTATCTATCTATCTATCTATCTATCTATCTATCTATCTTCCTTCCTTCC